CTGGAAATCTGGGCCAGTTTTTGGCCATAGGACTATGAAACCAGAGCGGTGTGTTGTTTTGTCAGAATAACCAGCTGACACCGAGGCGGCTTGGTGGGGACTCTCAAATTAGCTAAATGAGAACAGTTTCAGTGAGGGATTTAACACTAGTTTTCCACCAGGATTGTAGATCTGCCGCCTTCTTATTACAGTTGTTGAGGGACCTGAGCTACAAGCTGAGGTGTTCAGGGTTGAGGCACGTTGGAAAAATGACTGAGTCTGAAACAACTCCTTTTGCTTTGGAGAATGAGAGATCTGGTGAGAACTTGAATCCAGACCTCCTGCTTGTTGATACGTAATATTGTCTGTGGCACCACAAGACATGCACTTTTAGCCATTTCTTCTGTCATCAACATGTGCCTCTGTGTCACGTAATGTAGATGGGAGTTTCCAGTGCACACAGCAGTTGTGTGGCATGACCTGTTTTTACATGTGCCTTAAAATTACACAGTTAATTAGCTGTAAGTTGTAGTTTTGGTTTTCTTTTTCTCTCTTGTCCTGGGGGTGAAAAATTTGATGCAAACAGAACAGCAAAGTGGTGTTTCAGATGGCACAGGCTACCTAAATAGCTAATGTGTCCTGTCCAGTTAAATTGCAGAATGTGAGGTTTCTATAAAAGTAAGTGAGAGAAGCCTGACCTTCCAGGTTCACGCATTGTTCCTAAGTGTGGCAACATTTGGAATTGAGGATGTGACTTGGGCCCCATATATAATCTTTTTGATTCAAATAGATATTAGCGTGAATTGAGTCTGTATTCACAGTGCAACTTTTATGAGCATTTCAGATGTGTGAAATAGTAAACATGAAGGAAAGCAGAAGGCTTGATTTCCCCCTGATTTCACTGGAGTTATTGGAAACTAGCTAATGTGGTCCCAATTTTCAAGAAAGGGAGGAAGGAGGACCCAAGTAATTATAGGCCTGTAAGCCTCACCTCGGTGCTCGGGAAGCTCTTGGAGAGGATCATCAAAGAGCATATCTGTGGGGGGCCTGCAGGGGAGATCATGCTCAGGGGCAATCAGCATGGGTTCATCAAAGGCAGGTCCTGCCAGACCAACCTGATTGCCTTTTACGACCAAGTAACTAAATCCTTGGATGATGGTGTCGCTGTGGACATAGTCTTTCTAGACTTTAAGAAGGCCTTTGACACTGTCACTCACCCCATCCTCATCAATAAATTCAGTGACTGCAGCATTGATGTCTGCACAGTTGGATGGGTAAAAAATTGGACCTGAACCTGTTCAGCCTCAGCAAGAGGAGGCTGAGGGGGGACCTGGTGGCTGCCTACAAGCTCATCAGGGGAGATCAACAACAAGTAGGCAGAGCTCTTTTCTCCCCAGCACCACCTGGGCTGACAAGGAACAATGGTAATAAGCTGATGGAGAATAGGTTTAGGTTAGAGATCAGAAGGCAATATTTTACAGTTAGGGTGGCCAAAATCTGGAACCAACTTCCCAGGGAAGTGGTCCTCGCCCTTACCCTGGGCATATTCAAGAGAAGGTTGGAGGATCACCTGTCTGGGGTCTTGTGAACCCAGCATTCATTCCTGCCTGTGGCAGGGGGTCGGGCTAGATAATCTGTTCAGGTCCCTCCTGACCCTACCTACTGTGAAACTATGAAACCCTCATGCAATGAGGGTTAATTTATCATGCAATCAGAGGGCTCTGCATCTGTGCTCTTCTGTTTGAGCGGTGCATTAGAGTGATTTCAAGGGGTCAATCACACAACAAATGTCATTTCTATCTGTGCCCAAAGTGCTGTAAAATACAGCACTTCAAATTTAATACCTCATTTAACAAGTGTTAACAAAGTGTTGTACCCATTGTAAAAGTGCTGTAAAGCCATGCTCTTCTGTTAAGTCATGACAATAAAGCACTTTAAATGGCAGAAAAAAGCAACTTCTGTACACAGCCATTGTTTGTTTGAACAGTCTTTTAGGAAAATGTTGGTTAGGTAGGAGGGGGAAGAACGGATAATGTCTCTTGCTGTTTTGAGCTATGTTTTTAAGGATGGTTCAGGACTGCTGCTCTGACCCCTGTCCCCAGCAGCAAATAGAAACATCTTTAAAGGTAAAAAGATAAAGAAATGGGTTTGTTTCATAATCTCTTGGTTTGGTGCATAATAAGCCCAGCTTTGTTTGGCAGAGAACAAAAAATAATGTTTGTGAAACTTCTTTATTGTGTGGGTTTAAAAAAAATGAAGCCTCTTCTTTTGTAACTGTAACATTTGATCTCTAAATGAGTTTGACAGGGGAAGAGAAATTCCCATTAGAGAGCAGAGTCCGATTAGCATTTTGTGGAATGGCATTAGCCAGCCGGAGTGTCAGACAGAGCGGAGAAATGCATTCATTAAAGACAATAAAGCAAACATCTTCTCTGCGATCTTAAGGAAAAGGACAGATCTGTCACCTATAATTAAATCAACCTGAGTGAGAGATAAATGAGTCTGATCTTTCCAGGGCCATGATTGTTCTGTTTGTATGAGGAAATGAGGTGGCGGGGGGGAGTTCTCCTGGGAAGAGGGTGGGGATGCGGGGAATGGAGGTGCATATTGGGGACATGTTAGCGCTGTTCTGGCCTCTTCTGTAGCCATTCTGTCCTGGTGTGGTAAAGTTCAGAGAACTGGTCCCTTGGGAATCCCTGTGAGACAGGGTCCGTGGAACAGCCTTTGCCTTGTCCCTTTGCAGCCCGTTTTAGAGGGGCTTGCTGGAGAGTGGTGGGAACACACTGTAAGGAGCCACTACTTTGAGCTGTTGTGATGTACCTTGAAGGGGGGCTGCGCTTTCACCTGAAAAGCTTCAAGGTCTAGAATCTGGGGAGAGTGCAGGTGTCACAAGATCCCCCCCATTTCCCAGTCTCTGCACAGAGTTCAGCTGAGCTGAAATGAGACCTAGGGCAGTGTAATAATAAGCCTCTCTTACAACTCTGGAGACATCCACTGCACTCCAAGAAAGCCTCATTAACACTAGAAAATGAGTGAACGACTTGCTGAAAAAGACTCCACCCTGGGAAACAGCAGGTCAATTAACAAATGAATGCAAATGGACAAAGAAGACTTTTATAGGGAAAACAGCAGTCAGGTGCTATGTACGGTTCTTTCTAATGTTCTGTGTGAATTAGTAACGATTGTGCAGTCCCGGTAGTAGAAGAGCTTGGTACCCTGCCGCCTTTTGGATTGCAAAATGCGTAGAGTGTACTGATCTCAGAGGCAGATCTAACACCAACTAATGCAGGGGCCTGGAGGCAATGTTCGCAAGGAGCTGCCAAGAAGGCGAGATACCTGGATTAAGCAGGCCACAGTCATTCACAGCTTATCCAGGAACTGGGTGGTTGAGGATAAGCAGTGTCTCCTGGTCTCATTCATTCCTTATCATTTGTCCCCTCCGATGAAGAACAAAAGACTGGCTGAAGGACTGTGTCCATAGCACAGAAACTTGGCTTGTTGTGCACATCTCCTGTGCTGTTCACAGAAGTGGCATCAAAGCTGCTGTTTGAATCCCAGATGTGCTTCAAACAATGCTCCAATGTTTGTTCTTTGCCATGTCAGCCTCCAGCTGCCTGATCTGCTGCTGTCTGCAGGTTATAGGCTAAATTGGCCAGAAGCTGATTACCAGCCTAAATATCACTGCACATACCTTGGAGCTCAGTTCTGCACTTTTTTCTTTTGGACAACACTGTTCAGTTTTTTTGCCAGCAGGAGTCCACAGCACTAAACCCATTTCTATAACTGGTGCTAGTAAGCTTTGCATGACTCATGGAAGCTGGTCAGTTGTTGCGGGAAAGAGAAGGTCTTCGTAATTTAGAAAGGAAGCACGCTGATGAAGGAGTGTGTGTGTGGCAAACCTGCTCTGATGCTGCTCTTGGGCTTCTCAGATGTGTCTCTTTAACCAGCACTAAATTCCTTCTCACTGCCTGGGTCACAATAATTTATTTTTAGAATGAATTTAATTTTTAAAAGCAGGGTGAACAAAATGGCTCATAATCATATTGCGAGTTCTGTTTCACTTAATTATCCTGCACAATCTCGCTTCCAAGCCCTGGAGCAGAGTGGGCAGGGACAACGGGTCACTAGCACTTGATTTCATTTATTGGAGGAAAGGTCTCCCTTCTACCATGCATGCTCATCTTCGCTTGCGATATGACCGGTTGCGTGGATCTGTGCAGAAAATTATATCTGCTTTGGCATAATCCTGTGTCTGGCCACATGCCTCTCAAAAGTTGCAGTGAGAAAATGGTAGTGTAAGTACACTAGTTGCTGGCCTGTGGTAGACCCTGTAGCATCCAGAAACATGTAGGAAAACCCACAAGTGCAGGTACTTTTAAAGTCTCTGTCCTGCCCTGAACAAGCTGCGTGTCTCTGATTGTTCATAGCAAACTAACTCCTCTACCTGTTGATTTGTGTTTTATGGCTCTTATGTGTGTTCCATAAATGAGCTGCTGAAATCCTGGACTTACCCATCAGGATTAGATAATATATGCAGGAGTTGAAAATGTGTATCATTAAATAAGTTACTCACTGCCCTTTTGTTCTGTGTTAGTTCTCCAGGCATGTCAACACTGCCTTGAATCTACCATGTACTACCACATCCCCAGGGCAGGCTATCCAGAAAGTTGCTTTGGTTTACAAAAGCAAATGCTACATTTAATTTTCAGACCAAATGAACAGCTAACAACCTGCCATCCTTTGAAAATTTGTGCTGTCCAAACAGAAAAAAAAAGCTGCACCTGATTCCTGCAGTGTTGTCAGCAATCCACAGTTGCTTTGTTCAGGCCATGACTTGGGGAGATCCATGTACAATGACATTAAGCAAGGCTGTGCTACTTGGTCTGAGAGCTAAGGAGAACCACATGTTTATTTGTGCCCGGCAGCATTAGCCCTTTTTTTTTGGTTCATTTTGCTAAATTCCTGCATATACCATAAATACGTGTGTTTGTCACTTGATAATTCTCTCTTTGCTTCTACAGTTCTCCTGCTGTGGAGGCGATGAATACAAAGACTGGAACGTCAATCAGTACCATTCATGCAACAACAGTGGGCCTCTGGCGTGTGGGGTTCCATATACTTGCTGCATCAGAAAGGTAAAGGTGCGAAAGGCAAAATGATTAATATGAGAAATTAGAGTATCGTACGAAACAGTCACGTACCTCGCTAGGAGCATGTAGCGCCTGCTTTTTCTGTCCCTTCTCACAATCTGGCTGATGCTACAGAACAACCTTCTGCACTGCATCTCCTACCCTCTGAAGGACCCTGCTGATATCTATTCATCTGTCATGTTTTGCAACAAAACCTTTGAGGTTTGGAAGCTTTTTGTTCCACATTGTAACTTTAAGTGACTTCTGGAATGGATTTATGAAACAGAAGAGTGTGTGATGGCGATGCGCACACATACACAGTTTCAAGTACCTACTCTGTGTGATTCAAAGCAGAGTCTTTTATCCCAGATCACTCCAAGTGAAGCAGAACAAACACTTGAACCTGGCTCTTCCACATCCCACACTAATATTTTAACCCCAGGTTATCGAGTGTTGCTTGCACACATGCTATAATGCTTGCTCCCCAACACTTCAACAAAGGCATTTTTCTCTGTTCCAGGCAGATCTGTTTACTATATGATATTTGGGGGGGAATCAGACAGGGTTTATGCCCCCTTTTCTGTTTTATGAAGCATGCATGTGGCCTAAGCTGCTACCTGCCCACTGAAAATGGTGTCCATGGTGGAAGTGTCTCTCTTCGCTCTTGTGGGTTTATGGGTAAGACTGGAGAATGGGTAGCATTACACCACCAGCAGAACCTGTTTGCCTGTTTGCCCGTTTGCAGGTTAAGGCATCGTGTCGAAGAGAAGACTGGGATGGCAGGGAGGTAGGGGGAGTATTTCTGTGGTACTGACAATAATAGGTGGGTCATGGTGGCTGGAGGAGTTGTAGTGGCAGTAATTTTTAAAGGTAGCTCTCAGAGCTGCCTAAATTGAAGTCCCAAGGAGCTATTCTAGGCTCAATAAGAGCAGGAAACTTTCAACTGCAATGCTGCAATCAGTGCCTTGGCAGTGACTATACCCCCAGGAGGCTAATGAGTCTCTGCTGTTCCCTTATGTTGATCTTGATTCCAGGCCCAATATGTCCTGGTGAACACAGCCTAATGTTGTGCATCAGCTGCTGAGATGATGTGTATATGTGGAGCTGCATGTGCAAGTGTTTTGTATCACTTAGTAATACACGTCTGCTGAGCTCCTCTCAAACAGCCTGATGTAACCCTGCCCAGGCTGCAGCTGGCTAGGAAGCTCGTGCCATTCTCTCTAGTGCCTCTTTTGCAAGGATCTCTTAAGTGCTGTACAAAAATTAACCCTACACTGGTAATGAGACTTGTCTCTATTGAGTAGAAGGGGAAATGGATGCTTGAGTGACAAGTAGGCTGAATTTTGACTGCCAGGCATCTCTCTGACCACTATTGTCTGCTCCATCTCTCTCCTGGGAGTTCTCTCCTGGTCTCCTCCACACTCAGGGTTGCCCCACACAAGTGGTACAGATGGTCCTAATGTGCCATGACTTTGTGTCATCTTTGTACAGTGTAAGCTCACCATGTATGTGCCAGCCATTACCCAACTCAGGATCTCTACAAGGCCCTAGCACCACCTGGAGGGATTGATTAAGCCAAGAAAGACATGGAGGTAGGGAACGGTGCACTAAAAATACTGGTGTGTTTAAATACTCAAACTTCCCTAACGAATCAATGAAACGTTAGACAGCTAGTGCCTTGGGTATTACAATTCAAGCTTGACCAAGGAAAGCTTGTACCTGGGATGAGCTCACACATTGCTCCTAAGCAGTTAATGTTTCCAGGCCTTTTTTGGCTGCATTCTTTACTGTAGCTTCTACTGAAGTTCTAGGAGCATAGGCACTTATGTTACTTATAGAATAAGGCACAAGGAGTCTTATGCATTTAAGGAGACACCACGTCAGTCTAGCGAGGAAGTCTTCTATAATATCCAAGAGAGCACTGACCATGCTAAGAGTCCCTAAAAGAGGCACTCAGTAATGTCATTAGTCTTTACTTGAAAATCAGTGAAGCCTGTATTAATTGGAGGTCTGCAATCCCTTAACCTTGGGAGTTTACTCTCTATTTGTGAAGGACCAGGTTGGATCTCTCATTGAGTCCACTCTTCTCTTTGTGTAAATCCTGCCAGACTGGTGTATCCCAGTGAGGTTGTCATTCTGAAACAATTCACACTTCCTTGATACAGTTTTTTCCCCAAATCCATTTTGGTAACAGCTCCTTTGAGTTGCACGGTATAGCAGGGAACTTCTTGTGTTAACCTGTTGTGCAGTGTTGCCATGTGCAGCTGAACAGCTGCCACAGGTCACCCCAGAGGGGGCTGCATTTCTGTGGTGAGTGAACCATTTCCTGTGTGGTACTTGCATGGCACATTACTTTAACTTGGTGAGAAACTGGTATGAACATGAGACTTACTCGAATTATAACTACTATTGAGGATACATATGTAGTTCTGTTTAAATACACAGCGTTACAGTGATTATACCTCAGCCCTTCGTAAACTACCACATGTATGCATAAAGGAATTGTAAATTGAAAGGAACAGCTAACTCTAATGAAGTCCCTTTTCACTGAGAATATGCAAAGTGCTATGAAGTGGCTTGAGTGTCAATCTTTTTTTAACGAAATAGCCTTTCTAGTGACTAAAATACTAACACTCGAGTACCGGGGACTGTGCCAAAATGCACTTAGAGGCAGAAATAGACTACAGCCTGTATAATGAGATTAGTAATATCAATTAGCCTCCTAGTAGGTTCGTCTGATAGGAAACATGAAGGGGGAAAGGGATGACTAGAAGAAGAAGGATCTAAATGCTAATAGCTGGAAGTTGTATCATCTGGATTCTCTTGACATTGGCCTCTACCTTCCAATGTACTAAAAGTTATATATCAGGAGAAATGTTCTCACTAGGAGAGTAGTAAAGCACTGGCACAAGTTATCCAGAGAGGTGGTGGAATCTCCATACTTGGACGTTTTTAAGACCTGGCTAGACAAAGACTTGTCTGGGATGATCTAGTTGGGGCTGGTCCTGCTTTGAGCAGGGGGTTGGACTAGAAGACCTCCTGAGGTCCCTTCCAACCCTCATTTTCCTATGAATTCCTATGAAAAGTACCTACGGTCCCCTTGGGGAGGCTTAGCACCTCCAAAAGTCAGTGTGTGACCTGGAGGATGTAGGGAGGGATTTTCAGAAAGTGGTAAGTACCTCAGGGATACTAGTCTCAGAAAGTCAGGGGTATTTTTGATAGGCCCTTTAGTCACCCTAGAAAATCTTGCCCTTAAACACTATGCTTCACTTTCATAATTTCTAAAACAGGGAACGGTAGGTGCAAAACATGTGGGGTTTGAGGAAGACTGAGAGTCAAGACGCATAATATTCCATGACCTTATGATGAAACTAAATAGAAACATGAATTTAGTTCTCTCTTAGGCTGTGGTTATACAGGAGCTTAAGCAGCTTTTGATAACAACGTGGCTCGCATGTTTAATTTAAAGCAGCCTTGCTCAAGGCAAGCCAAGGACTGGGAGGTTCCAGAGCTTGGAATGGAAGTAATTAGCAAACATAGGATCAGAGAGGAAAGTAGGGCTGGAAGAGACCCATGAGGGGCATCTAGTCCAGCCCCCTGCTCAAGGCAAGCTCATCCCTGATTGAACCACCCTAGCCAAGTATCTATCTTACCTGTTCTTGAAAACTTCCAGGGATGAAGATTTTGCAGCTTCTCTAGGTCATCATTTTCAGTGCTTAACCATCCTCATAGAAAGTCCTTCCTAATCTCCAGCCTGCATTTTGTCTGCTGCAGTGTGATGAAGGAGGGCAGGACTGGTACAGCAGGGAGTGACATGAGTCAGAGTTGAGATTCAGAGTTGAGCGGTATGTGGGAACCCTGGAGTCCAAAAGTTTACAGGGCTTCATATTTGCACTATGGTGAGCTAGCAGAGGTAGGCAAGTGAGGGATTTGCATTATTTCTCTCTACCACCTGTAGCTCCTGTGTGAGCTGCTTAGTCACCTCTTTTCACAAGCGGTGGCATCATTCATAATTAAGATCTTTATTTTAAAGGAATGCTCTCTCCATTTTCTAAACAACCCGTAAATATTGTGCATGCATGGTTCAATTGTTAGAAGGGCATAATGGCTTCTCTTGTTGTGCATGTTTCTTTACCCAGGAGGCTTCCTATGCTCGTTAATTCATAAAGGTTGTCTTTGTTCTGCTTCTTTGATTTCCACCCCTTCCCGTTCCGTCCCATGCCTGACGTATTTGATAGATGTTCTCTGAAATTAAAGGAGTTCTGAGAGCGAGTTTTTGCAACAGCCCTAACATTGATCGCTCTCTCCCTTCCTTGTTTATTCTTGTCCAAAAGTGACCTGCTTTAAATTGCTGCTGCCCTCCCTGGGTTGGCATGCGAGTACGAGAAGTCATATCAAAGGTGAGGTCTAATTCTGGGTCTCCAGCTAGACACCTAAGCCCGTTTTCTTTAGAGATACTCAATGCCAGCAGCTCTTACTCACTTAATTATAAAGTTAGGGGTGCACAATGGTTTTAAAAATCAGGCCTGAAATATTGAGCAGCACTTCCAGAACTGCAAAACCGTGTTGTCTGAGTGGTTTCGCTAGCAACTCCTATACAAGTGATGATGGAGTGTATACACCAACCACTTTCTCTCATGGCCAGAACCTTGTAAGTGAAAGAGAAATGGGGATAAATTATTTTTAGTGGTTTGAGTTAACAGGTAATAACTGAAGTGTTCTCATCTCCCAGACAAATCTTAGTAAGACTCCACATACTATGTATTAGGGCAGGACAAGAGAATAAGATTACTGTGGTATATAGAAATAGACCGCCTGAAACCTTTTCCCTCTTATTAACTTTGATTAAAAGTGGTTTTTGACTGATCAGAAGTGCTTGCAGGAAAAAAATCCTTCTCAACAAACTGAAACAGCTTACCGATCTGGAGCTTTTTATAAACTGGTGGCTTTTAAAATATATATATATTTCTTCAATGGGGAATTTAGAAAAATGGTAGGATTTTCTG